CGACCGATGCGTTGCTTCTCTTCTCGCTCTCACTTGCGTATGTTAGCCACCATATATGCTTAGTGCTTGCTGCAGCTCCACCATATTACCCCTTACCTACCTATGAGCTTAAATAGTCTTGATCTCGCGGGTGTGAGATTGCTGAGTCCTCGTGACTCACAGATTCTACCAAAACAGATGCAGGTGCCGAGGATACTGGCGCAGATGGCGCAACTGAGTTGAAGTGGGAATTTGATGAGGCCCTTGGTCGTTATTATGTATCGTTTCCAGATGATCAGTAGAGGAGCCCAGTCGGGATGATCGGGGATCTAGCATTTGGGGTTGTTTTCTTTTCATTTGAACTTGACCGTAGCCGGTCTATGAGTGTATTTGAATGATGTATGATCTTAAATTATGTATTGTGTGAAGTGGCGATTGTAAGCCAACTCTCTTTATCCCATTCTTGTTCATTACATGGGATTGTGTGAAGATGACCCTTCTTGCGACAAAACTACTATGCGGTTATGCCTCTAAGTCGTGCTTCGACACGTGGGAGATATAGCCGCATCGTGGGTGTTACATCTGCACCAGCATCCAAGGCGACTCTTCGGTCACCGTCTATTGCCAACACATCAAGGCAATTGACGACGAACTCCGTGAGCTCGGTGATCACGTTGACGATCGGACCCTCATCGGCGCTCTCCTCGTCGGCCTCGGGGAACAGTTTGAGAAGCAGGTCGCCTTCATCCCTATGCTGCGACCCTACCCCTCCTTCACGGAGGTCCGCTCCATCTTGCAGCTCGAGGCACAGAACCAGGTGCGCAAGGCGACGCGTCCTCCCTAGGTGTTTCACGCCGCCCGACCCTCTGCACCATATGCGCCGCCTCCATTGCCTGCTCCATCGACACCTTCATCCTCGGCTCCTCCAGGTTCGCGCCCGAGCCCTAACTATCGGGGCAAAAACCCCGTCTACCGGCCGCCGCAGCCTCGACCTGCTGCTCCACCACCGGCGCCTCCTCCATCGGCCGCTCCTCCCATGTCTTTGCACCCTCAGCAAGACCCCTGGACTGATCTAGTTTAGGCGTGGCACATGCCCTGGTTTGCGCCATCTCCATACGGCGCTCCTCCCGCATACGCCGACAACTGGAGCCCGTGCCTTCGCCCTGCTACGGTGCTCCCGACTTCCTTGGTCCGCGGCCACCGCCTCATGTCTACACTGCCACGACCTCTTCATCGCCAGGCGTCCAAGGATCACCTTACGGCTACCTGCCGGTACCCTATGCGGCCTATGCCTACGGCCCTGTTTCACCCATGCCGTACACGCACGCGCCTGCGCCCGGACCGCCAGCTACTCCACCACAGCCAGCCCGGGATGAAGCCGCCTTCATCGCCGCCATGAACAACTTTACACTCAGTAACCAAGGTACGGATTGGATTTTCGATTCCGGTGCATCCTTGCATATGTCTTCAAATATGGATATTCGATCAGCTTGTTTTCCTTCCGCTTATTCTTCCATCACCATAGGCAACGGCTCCCTTGTTCCCGTCTCTTGCACCAATCATTCTTCTGTACAAACAGATCATGCCAATTTTCAACTCCGCAATATTCTAGTGGAGGTGGTGTCACTAGTGACCATGAGATCCACTATGGCTACTATGTAACTTGTGCCCACGAGATCCATGATGACCTCCCTCACGTGCGGCACCTAAGATCCGAGTCTGCCACCCTCGTCGTCGTGTGGATGGAGGTGGAGGCATGGAGGAGCCGAGAGAGACTAAGGTGGTGGTGTGTGAAAGTTGAAGAGTTGGTGAAGCGAGCACATGAATAATGAGGACTCGGAAACAAGGTAACATAAAACGGGTCATATTGGTATTTTTGTATGGTCAGAAGTTACCACGTACATGATCACCTGCCAAGAAACTTTCTCGCTTCGCTTGCAAACATATAAACAGAAACAAGTGGAGAACACTTCATGGAAGTAAATCGAATAAAAAGTCCATTGTGCCTTAGAACACATGCCACATGGGACAAGTTTATTTTACCTTTTTAAAAGTCAATGTGCTCCTAGACGACTGATCAGTTGTGCCATTAAGAAATGAAGTTGGCAATGGGATAGAATAGGGGAAGCAATCAAACTTTATGCATCATTATTTTTATATCACTTCAACTTATCCTATTGTTATGAAAAAGATAACATGAAAACAGAGTAGAATGCTCTTAAGAAATGAAGTTGGTAATGCCCATTGCGTGCAGCTTCTTTTGAATCCTTGTATAATTTGTTAAATGGTCAAACAAAATGCATTACTTTATTTTATTAATTGATGATCCTCGTAACCAATGTATAATGGCTTGAATGGTTGTGGTTGTGGTTTGTGATTATGTTGAACCGCACAAATGGGAGTTATGTTGGGGCATATTCTAAGTGTAAGTATGCTACAATTGTTCGCAAATCACACTGTCTAAGCTGCCGTCACAATCATATGAACCTTCATACTTTGTAATGTAATACTATGATGTACACATAAATAGTTGATCCCATGAATTATATTTCTCTCAAAATGCACACATCTCAGCTCGCCTGTCGTCTACGCATCCACATCATCAAGTACTTGTACTTCTTTCATATATTTTCTCAAGGGAATTTTTTTTCCGAAATTCATATATTTTTCTTTCATATTTTATTTTTCTTGCACATGCAAGCTCCGCACATCATCAATTTATTTTTTCTTTTTAGAAACAAATCATTCTTCCAAGGCGAGAAGGTCACGATGCAATATAACGTGCAATCAGCCTCCATTTGTGGCTAAGCCTACTTTCGTTCGTATATGACAAGAATGTGAACGAGCTTTACACTCATATATTTTACTTATAGTGTTTATAAATTTATTACTATAAATTCCTGCATCAAGATGTAGGGTCTATATTAACTAGTTACCCCCTTCGTTTTTTTTACTCTGCATATACCATTTGTCCGACTTTGTAAAGTTTGACCAGTTTTATGAGACAAATATTAACATTTACAATACAAAATCAGTATTGATGCACTGTGAAAATTAATGTTCATATTTTATTACTTTAGTATTGCAGATGTTGATGTATTTTCATATAAATTATTGTTCATATAGTGTTTAGTTTGACTTCCAACACGGAGTGAAAAGAGACAAAGGGAGTATTAAGTAGTAGGAGTACTATGCACCCGCTCTTCCAATGCAGGAACACTGAAATTCTACAAATTCAGTTGTGGAGCCGCCGAGAAATAATAACCATATTAAGATCGAATGCCAATACGTACAGCCCTTTACCACTTTGTTTGGCTACAAATTTTCACACCGAGGTGCCTGCGATGATACACATTTCCAACAAAGGTGAACATCTTAAGCACATCACGCATTGCCTGTCTTTACATCAGAAAAGCAAAGCGGCGACCAATTAAGGTGTTCACTGCTTGCCTGCCCGGATGTCCTGCAGGAGCATGAGCCCGGCGGAGAAGACGACAAAGAGCAGCGGCGTGGGCACCTTGTCAACCGCGTCCCTCATCCTCGGCACCTGCCTGCCGGCGTTCTTGGCCGTGACGGCGAGCAGCGGCGCCGCCAGGACGGCCACCGCGGCCTTGTTGGCGAGGACGAGGCGGAGGTCCATCCTCACCCACTCCATGATCAGCTCCCAGAACTCCTGCTGCGTTATCCCCTTGTCGCGGAAGCCCTGCAGTCGATATATATAAAACCAAATCATTCCCATAGCTGAGCAGAAGGCCATGGATATACAGTAGAAATTTCAGAAATAGGAAGAGAGCAGAGACCTCCGCTTTCTCCTTGACGACCTGCATGCATGGAGGGTCCTTGTGAGGCCCCACCAGCTGCTTGTTGATGGAGCTTGATGAGATGCCCAACGAGACGGATCAGATCAAAGTTCATTAGTAGGAAACGAGAGGATAGGATGCATGAGGCGAAAGAGATCGATATCGATACTAAAACACGAACGGGATATATCCGTCTCACTTGTAAACCATGAGGGTGGCGACGTGGAGATTTTTGACGTCCAGGAGCTTGGCGTTCTTCTCGGCGTTGAGGACGGCCAGTTCGTCGAACACCTTCTCACATATCCTCACAACATCCAGCTTGCCTACGACCAACCAACACGTTACACCCTGTGCATGTCTCTCGAAGCCTGCACCGCACGAATGGATCAAGAAAATAGAAAGAAATTTACAAGATTAGTTACCTTGAGCTCTGTCCCACAGGCGGCCGAAGAAGCGCGCCATGGATCGATGCTCCTCCTCTGTCTCTGGCCGCGGTGGAGGGGAAAGAACGCGTACTACAAGTAGATAAGAGAAGAGAATTGCTAGGAGGCTATGGCAGGCAGCATATTTATGCTGCTGCTGATTGGGCTGTAGATCGGCAGTGGCTTGCAGGGAAGGTCAGGTCAGAATCAGCTAGCAGACCAGGCTGCGTATTGGTTACTGACTGAGCATTTGTGGGCCGGCAGTCCTTCCTTCCCTTGCGTTGCCTTGCTCCTCCGGCAACATAAAGAATTCTCGATTCCTACCTTTTTCCTCGCGTGAACACCAAATCCAAGCACCAAGGCTAGTACGGACACCGCGACGCAAACCTCAACCTTTGCCTAAAGAAATCCTAATGACTCTCTTTTGAGCAAAAGTAATAGTAATCCTTATCAACTTTGGACCGTTCCCGTGGAAGAATCACGCTCACACAGTAGGCTAGTTACCATTCTTTCGAAAATTAAGTTAGTTTTTTTTTTGAGTTGCCAGTTTCTTTGGATGGTTTCCAGTTTTTTTTTCCAGCAGAGTGGTAACGGCATTCGATATACTGGGCCGCATGGGAACGGGCCACCCTACCACTCCTTTCTAGCCCATTAAGGCAGGTAACTCTCCAGCGGGTTCTCGCGCCACGCAACACCCTCGCCAGTCGTCTCTTCCCCACACGAGCACTGCAATTCTGGAACCGCCTCTTCTCTCTTGCCACCGGAGAACTGCTAAATTCGCTCGACACCATCGAAGAAGATGGAGCAAGCTACGTCGATCTCGTCGTCCTCCCGTGAACCTGGTTCGCTCCTGCTCTCCGTCTCCGTTTTGGTAGGAAAAATAGAGAAAGCTTCTCCATCCGATGCATGGAGGCGCGCGGTTCATCACGATCTGTGTTCTTACTTTTTCTTTTTTGTTTTTCTTTTTTGGCGGGAAGATCTGTGTTCTTACTATTCATGTGACGTTTCTACTGAAGCGCCGGCGCCGGATGAGAATGAGACGGGGATGGAGCAGGTTCTGGCGGATCTGCAGGCGCTCAAGGGGCTCTACGGCCTGCTTCACAGGGGCCCCCAGCCAAATGAAAATGTAAGATTGCTCGAACATCGATCAGCATGTTTTACTGCCTAAACCATTGCTTCTTTCGACAACTCTTCTTCAACTGCATCCGTCGATGCGTGCATTTTAAATTTCTGGATTTGCTAATTCTCGGTTGATCAATCGTGACTCTCTTAACGCTCAATCGCACACCATATTGGTTTTGAATTTCAATAGCAAATGCTGTTTTTTCCCACTGGATAAACTGAATGTTTTCTTAGATTCATATGAACAAGCTTGTAAAGTAGACTGGGAAATAAGATATTCTCAGTCCACTGAGATGATACTATATTGTTTTGCAATAAATTATTACAATTATTTTGACATTTTTTTTTCAATCGGCACATGAACAAATTGAGAAATAAGATTTTTGTATTGCCCTCAGACGTGTTTGGCTACCAAAGATTAGGAAGAACATAACATAACATAACAGAAAATGGCGATTCTATTCCAAATTAGTGCGATTTTTTTATATATTTTTTGCATGAGGAACAACTTTCCACGTCAAAGGCGGAAAAATGAGCTGTTGCCTTTGTTTCAAAAGAAATGAGTGGTTTGTTATTTCTAAGGCAAAATGTTACCAAAATGCACATTGTGAGGTTTACCATTGTCGTGTGCTAGTTTTAAGTGTAGAAATAAGCAACTATCCAGTTGCTTATTTGTAAAGTTCGACATGATTTTCAAAATGTATGCCCATCCAATTTAAAAGAATAATAAAAAAACATTTGATATTGTCGGATTAGAAATAAGAATTTCTCACAAAACTTAGAAATATACACTCTCAAGAAATAAACGGGACTATTTTTTCTACCCCTTGTCCTATCTTGGAGCGTCCCACGTTTTTTAGTTATGTCGATCCTTGCCTTGTTTCTGAGTATTACATAATGTTTCATTGGGTTGTTTGCTTGTTTCATAGTGTATCATAATGTTACACCGTTGAAGAGTGAAATTTTGTACTTCTGTCAGATCCTCCCTATCTTCCGATCGAGCTTGTATAAGGTTTATACTGCCTGCTAGGGCCGATAGTACTATACTGTTTGGACAGAGTCAGGGCCTTTGTCACCCCTAGGAGTCGTCTAGCGGAAAATTGTTTCTGGGTGGGGGTAAAAGAACCAAGAATCACCGATCTCTGCCTTTAAGGTTGAGATGAATCGATCTCGTTCGACGGAGCGAAAACACCTCATATGTCGAATTCCAGAAAACCAGCAAGAGGTTCTCCACTCTTTGATCCCGAGGGCCGAGCGACAACCTCGACCAGAGCTGAAGTTTCGTCATATTTTGATCAAGTTCCATGGGATTTCCCTTTATTTTAGAGTATATCGTAATGCTTCTTCGTATATTACCAAAGTTGCACAAAATATCCAACACACCGGACAGTAGATGAAATGCCGCCCACGGTAGATAACCATTTCTTCGAAACTTACATGATAGTAATTGCCAATATACAGAAAACTTCAGGCATCTTAGTTTCGTTTACATTTTCAGTTGCAACTCTAATTTAAACTCAACATTGATGCAGTTGAACGAGGCATCAAGAGATATGTTAATGAAGATGCTAGACAACGCTACTCAGCAGACTCTCCTAAGACAGGCAAAGGTAATAATACATTTGCAGTAATTATTATTGCCTTCTCGAGCAAATGCTGATAAGCAGAACGATCGCTCGTCTGTACGCTTGCAGTTGCTGTCAGGCCCCCTGATGTCTGCTGCTCTTGAGAGGAAGCTCTCGATCCAACCAGGCCGCCGGACAAGCGGCAAAGCCGAGCATCAACTGAAGCCGATCGCGTCGCCCAGCCCCAGCCTCTGCGCCAGCCAGATGTCCCGGAGGCTGAAGCCGCAGGTCTCGGTGAGAAGCCGGGACGCCCGCAGCGTATACGACGACCATCGCCGCCGCGAGAGGGACGGTCGTCTCCTTGCTCGCGTCGACTCCGGCCGCTCGTCAAGAACCGCGATGCCGCAGCTCCATCAGAGGACTCCGGAGCCGCGCCTTTCCCGCCTCGCCTCCAACCGCTCATCCAGGGTCGCCGAGCCACGGCTCCATCCGAGCACTCCGGAGCAGCGCCTTCCCCGCGTCGCCTCCTACCGTTCGTCCAGGGTCGCCGAGCCACGGCTCCGTCGGAGCACTCCGGAGCAGCTCCTTTCCCGCGTCGCCTCCAACCGCTCGTCCAGGGTCGCCGAACCACGGCTCCGTCCGAGCACTCCGGAGCAGCGCCTTTCCCGCCTCGGCTCCAACCGTTCGTCCAGGGTCGCCGAGCCACGGCTCCGTCCGAGCACTCCGGAGCAGCACATTTCCCGGGTTGCCTCCAACCGTTCGTCCGGGGTCGCCGAGCCACGGCGCGGTGTGTCGAGAGGTCGCGCTCCGCGCGCCGACCGTAGCGACAGGCATAGCAGGCTGCGCGGGAGCTCTGGACGTGGTGATCATTCGTCGTCGCCGCCGTCGTCGTCCTCGCCAGAGCGGAGCAGCAGGCGCCGCTCCGTGTCCCGCGCCCCGTCGTCGCATGGTCGCGCCACGGTGCGAGGAGTGGGAGCGTATGGCTCCTCGACGCGTCGTTACAGCAGGAGGCTGGAGTCTGGGTTATCCATGGGCGTGAGGTCATGCCGCGGCTCCGAGCGGGCCGGACGCGGCGCGGCCACGCCGAGGCAGTCGTCGTCGAGCAGCGGCGAGGCGGTCACGATAAGCAGCCGCATCAGGCCGACCCGGGAACTCACAGAGCGCCGCGTACACGAATCTGAAGAAACAGGAGAACGGAGCCTTCGGCGGCGACAGAGGAAAGAAGGTGCCGTCGGTGGCAGCACCAGTATGGGCTGGTCAAGCCGCCGGCCGCGGCGAGCGCTGGACCCAATCACCTCCGGCAGCACGTACAGCAGCAGCTCGTCAGCTGCCGCTAGCCCGTCTCCCTCCACCAGCCCCACGGCGCCAACATCAACATCGGCCCCTTCAGCTTCTTCCTGCTCCTCGTCGGTGTCAGCGCCGCGGCGAGGCAGTGCGCTGCCGGAGCACGGATTCAAGGAGGCGTCGAGCGCGTCAAGAAGTCGCCGGCGCCGGGAAAGGCAGGAGAGAAGGGAAGGGCGGCTACGAATGTTCAAGGAGAAGCTCGCGCTGGTGTTCCACCACCGCCACGACCATCACCACCACCACCACATCGGTGGCGAGCGCTCCGGCAGCCCCGTGTCCAGACGCGATCGCCGCGGCAACAACAGCAAGTCGCCGTGGAGCTACCTCGGTGGCCTCGGCGGCATGTTCCACCGCAGCATTGGCCACGCCGCAAAGAAAACCCACGACGCAAAGAAAATCCACGACGCAAAGAAAAACAACGACGCAAAGAAAAACCAGGACGAAAAGAAAAAGACCACGAGCCGGACGGTGGTGCCGGTGCCGGCGCCGGCGAAGAAGCGCGGCGGGGGGCAAACGCACTCGCTGTTCGGCGCGCTGGTGAAGCACAAGTCGGGAACGCGGAAGGCACCAGCGCGAGCTCCGACGGCGCGCGCGGGTACCCAGAGCAGGATGCAGGTCAATAAGATGCACTGGTGGCAACTGCTGAGGCAACAGCACGCCCGGGCACAGGGTAAGGGCAGGCCTCTTCGTCGTTTAGGACAAGGGAAAGCACCGTAGTTTTATGCGCCTGGATCTGCAAGCACTCTTGTGCAGCGTGTACTACAACTTGTGTTCAATTTGTTTGCTTGCTTTGGTTGAGATGTTGACCTGCTGTGCTGTATGTTCTCACAATTAATTTGTTGTTGCATCGAGGGTACACAATAAAATTTGAGAACCCAAATGATAAGTGTCACATATTATATGCATGAAACTCCGGTCCTGTCGATAGCAATTCCATGGCAAATTTCAGTCATACTCCCTCCGTTTCTAAATATAAGTCTTTTTAGAGATTTCACTATAGACTACATACGGATGTATATAGACATACTTTAGAGTGTGGGTTCACTTATTATGCTCCGTATGTAGTCCTTAGTGAAATCTCTACAAAGACTTATATTTAGAAACGGAGGGAGTACATGACAAGTTTCTGTTAAAAAATAAACTGAAGCACAAAAAGTTGGGATCTCCTAACACAGGTTCTCACGTACATGTGTGAGTGTCGCTAGCCAATGGACCGAACGTTGGCTCTTATCTACGCGAAACTATAATAACTAAAAGCTAGCGGCCAATCTGAGACATTTAAAGTTTCGAACTGAAACAGTTTTTCAAAAGTGAAATATTTTTGAAACTCAACAATCTATCAAATCTGCGAATTCTTTTTAGAAAACTCAAATTTTCTGAAAACAGTGAATTATTTTTCAATGTGTGAACAAGGTGGTGATTCTGAACAAAAATTTGAAATGTGAACAATTTTTTAAAACACTAGCAATTTTTAAAACAGGAAAGTTTTTTGAAACTCATAAACAAAATGTGACATTTTTTATAAATTTGCTAACAATTTTTCAAAATTAAGTTCTTATGAAAACATGAACATTTTGGGTGTTTATAAATAAATTTTAACAAGAACATTTTTGCAATATTTGAACATTTTTTAATTTATGAACAAAGATTAAAAAACATGAATGCACTTTGCAAACATGAACATTTTTTAAATCTGCTGAAAAAATTGGTACATCTGAACAATTTTGTGAAACACGAACATGTTCTGAAATTTGGGAGTGAAATTCAAAAACACGGCATTTTTTGTTCATGTTTTAAAAAATAGTTTTTTTTAAAAAAAATATGTTTAATTAAATGCGTACACTGTTCAATCTTTGTGAACAAATTTTGAATAAACACAAACATTTTGAAAAAAATACGAACATGGTTTTGGATATATGCTTTAAAAAAACTGGATCATTTTTTAAACTATAAACAAAATTTAAAAAATATGAACAAATTTGGAAACACGCAAATTCTTTTTGAAAGTCCCTCGAATAAAATTGAAAGCAGGTACATTTTTTCAAATTTGTGAACAATTTTTGAAAATTAGAACAGTTTTTGTAAACATGAAACTTTTTTAAATCCCTGAATTTTTTGAAAAAATTAACAATTTTTGGAAACACGGTCATTTTTAGAAAAAAAACCCACGAACATATAAACAAATATTTGGAAATGACAAAAAGAAAACGAAATTTGAAAGAAAAAGCAACAAAAGAAACATGAAAGAATAAATAAAAAAAGAATATTCTTTTCAAAATTGTTAGCAAATATCATAAACAGAAACAATATTTGAAATTCAAAATTTTGGAACGGCGAACATTTTTTGAAAGTGTGAACAATTTTTGGAAGTACAAATTTTTCTCTCAAATTGCTAATATTATCTTAAAAAACGTGTTTTTTTTAAATTAAGAACATTTTTTGGAAATGCGATTTCTTTTGAAATCTGAAAATTTTCAACTTTATGAACATTTTGTAAACACAAACATTTTTAAACTTTGAGAATATTTTTTTGTAAACATGAACATTTATTCAAATTTGTGAACATTGTTTTTGAAAAGATGATTTTTTTTAGAACATCGAACACATTTTCAAATCTGAATTCTAAAGATTTTTAAAATGTTCGTATTTTCATAAAAAGAAATAGAAAAAGGAAAGAAAAGAAAAAGAAACTGAAAAGATAAAAACAAAAAAGAAGTAGAAAAGAAAAATAGGAAAAAAGCTAAATGAAAAGCAGCCACGAAAAACAATAGAAAAAAAATAAAAACCGATTCGGTGAACCTTCTAGAAGGTTCCCAAAATCGGAGAAAAGCATAGGTACGCTAATTGCTAATGGCCGGCCCAGATCGCATCGCTCGCTCCTGAATCCTTTGCGAACCCTCGACAGTTTGATACAACGTGTGTCACATAGGATTTTCCTGAAAAGTTGCTATGCTTGCCATCCTCGCGTAACTAAACTTGCCATGTGCTTGTACCCAGTGGCGGAGCTTGCAGCCCAAAGGTGGGCGGGTCAGTAAGGAGAAAATAGTTTATGGGTTGCTGTTTTAAGACCGAGGAGTAGATATATACTGTATAAATTTTCATGGGCTGGGCGGTCCACGGCCCATTCAACCTTGCTGAAGCTCCGCTAGTGCTTGTACCTGATGTGTGGCACTTATCAGGGTCCTTTGAGAAAAACTCTCCTTCGCCAGACTGATTTCTCAGGCGCTTCCGTCTCATCATGCACGCGTCCCCGTGGGACTAGCCCCACCCCCGAGCCTTACCTTCGACTATCTCTTCTCATCCACACATGTCGTCGTCTTCCCCCCGATTTCCCAACCGCTCAGTTGTTGCCTTCTTCTCTCCAACATTTTTCTCCCGCAACCAGCATGCCGATGGATGCTCTTCCTCCACACTAGTGCCACGGATGCTCCTCCCCCAAGTATTGTTGCCCAACTAGATGTCTTGCGCCCCCTTCCTCAAGTGAATTGTGAGGAAGAGTGCCTCCCCCCATGGCGAATGCCTGCTATTGCAAAGGGCGGTGGTTCTAAGAAGTTGCCGATGAGTCATTGCTGAGATGCAACCACTGTGTTGCAACCAAGGTGTTGCTTGAGGGCGGTGCAAGCCTGCTGGCTACCGCCAGTGTTGCAATTGAGATAGCGCCAAAGTTGCACACACGTTGGTCGGTGCTCACCGGTGCGTGATGGCCTGCATAGGTCGTTGGGGGTTGCAACATCTCCTATGTTGCAGTGACAACATGCCCCGGTTGCACTGGTGTTTGGAGAGTCATGCAAGATGGAGGTGACTGCAAGATGGTCCATGTTGCAATTGGTGACCAACGGCCCATGTGCTTTTGCAACTCATTCAAGGTGACACCAACATGGTCCATCTTGTAATGGATGACCGCAACATGGTCCGTGTTGTGATGATTCGATGGCTACACGAGACAAATATAACTGACGACCCACAAGTATAGGGGATCAATCGTAGTCCTTTCGATAAGTAAGAGTGTCGAACCCAACGAGGAGTAGAAGGAAATGACAAGTGGTTTTCAGCAAGGTAATGTCTGCAAGCACTGAAATTGTAGGTAACAAGTTGTTTGATAGCAAGATAATTTGTAACAAGCAAGTAACGGTAACGATAACGGTAACAAAAGTGCAACAAGGTAGCCCAATCCTTTTGAGGCAAAGGACAGGCCAAAACAGTCTCTTATGATAAGCAAAGCGTTCTTGAGGGTACACGGGAATTTCATCATATCACTTTCATCATGTTGGCTTGATTTGTGTTCGCTACTTTGATAATTTGATATGTGGGTGGATCGGTCCTTAGGTGCTGTTCTTACTTGAAAAAACCTCCTACTTATGATTAACCCCCTCGCAAGCATCCGCAACTACGAGAAAATTATTAAGATAAAATCTAATCATAGCATTAAACTTTTGGATCCGAATCAGTCCCTTATGAAGTAGCGCATAAACTAGGGTTTAAGCTTCTATCACTCTAGCAACCCATCATCTAATAACTACTCCACAATGCATTCCCTTATGGCTAAATATGGTGAAGTGTCATGTAGTCGACGTTCACATGACACCACTAAGGGAATCACAACAACACCACTAAGGGAATCACAACATACATACCATCAAAATATCGAACACATATAAAGTTCACATGATTACTTGCAACATGACTTCTCCCGTGACCTAAAAAGCAAAAGTAACTATTCACAAATAATAATCATGCTCAAGATCAGAGGGGTATTAAATAGCATAATGGATCTGAACATATAATCTTCCACCAAATAAACCATATAGTAATCAACTACAAGATGTAATCAACACTACTAGTCACCCACAAGCAACAATCTAAGGTTCCGGTGCAAAGATTGAACACAAGAGATGAACTAGGGTTTGAGAGGAGATGGTGTTGTTGAAGGAAATATGCCCTAGATGCAATAATAAAGTTAGTATTTATATTTCCTTGTATCATGATAAATGTTTATTATTCATGCTAGAATTGTATTAACCGAAAACTTAGTGCATGTGTGAATACATAGACAATACATAGTGTCCCTAGTATGCCTCTACTAGACTAGCTCGTTAATCAAAGATGGTTATGTTTCCTAACCATAGACATGTATTGTCATTTGATGAACGGAATCACATCATTAGGAGAATGATGTGATGGACAAGACCCATCTGTTAGCTTAGCATTATGATCGTTACAGTTTCATTGCTACTGCTTTCTTCATGACTTATACATGTTCCTCAGAATATGAGATTGTGCAACTCCCGAATACCGGAGGAACACCTTGTGTGCTATCAAACGTCACAATGTAACTGGGTAATTATAAAGATGCTCTACAGGTGTCTCCGAAGGTGTTTGTTGGGTTGGCATAGATCGAGATTAGGATTTGCCACTCCGTGTTTCAGAGAGGTATCTCTGGGCCGTCTCAGTAATGCACATCACTATAAGCCTTGCAAGCAATGTGGCTAATGAGTTAGTTGCAGGATGATGCGTTACAGAACGAGTAAAGAGACTTGCTGATAACGAGATTGAACTAGATATGATGATACCGACGATCGAATCTCGGGCAAGTAACATATTGATGACAAAGGGAACAACATATGTTGTTATGCGGTTTGATCGATAAAGATCTTTGTAGAATATGTAGGAGCCAATATTAGCATCCAGGTTCCGCTATTGGTTATTGACAGGAGATG